AATTGCTCCACAACATCACTCGCTATTTTGTCAGCCGCAGTTTGCGCACTACTGATAAGATCAAGGGCAGCTTCTTCACTTGTCCCGTCTGCAAATCCATCAATGGTGTCGACTTCAATTCTCGGGTACAAGGATTTTGTCATCGCCAAGGCCATGCCAGCTCCCATACTTCCAGCTTTCTTGATATTCTTGAAATATACTTCCGGAGCAACACTCAGCTTGTCAAATATTTCGGTTGCGTCGAGTGTACTCGGACCACCATTATTGAGGAACATGGCTTGGATAATTGGTGCAGCGGCATTGGCGACATCATCTCTTGCTCCTTCTAGCCTCTTGATCTTACCAACCAGGACGTCGAATTGAGCTTGAGACTTGATCTTGCGGTCTACAAAACATATTTATGGTGAGAATCTGCTGCATTGAAAAGAGACAAGTTCAGGCCAATAGCTGGCAGTACCTTCAACTTCCTTCAAGGCCGAGTCCCTCTGCGCAGCCAGTTCTACATTGTCTCTCTCCAGGGCTTCAACTTGCTTTTTCATTTGTTCCATTCTGGCGGCTTGCGCTGTTTGAAATCCAGTTGGTTGAGGATACAGTTATGTTGGCCTAAATCAATGGAACATATCTGGATGATTACCTTTTGATGAACCACTTAGTTCGAAGTTTGCATCCTGGAGCTGGGCGATTCGGTCCCTTAACTCTTTCTCTGTCTTTTTGGCGCACTCCTTGGCCTCATGCAGCTGGTCCCTAACTGCTTCTCGAGTTCCCAAATGAGGAACCAGCTTTTCCAAAGTTGTGGTCTTGGCTTCATTGCGAAGATGGATTCTCTGCATGATGGATCATAGTTCAGTTCTGCTAAAAAGAAAAACAAAGTTACAGGAGGCCGTCACTTGGAAGACTTACGTTTACAATACGAGTGGCTTCTCCGAGCGCTTTCTTCAGCTGGCACACTTCTTCATCTTCTTTTTGACGGTTTATGACTATGCCGGCGGCTTGTGAGTTCTCGTCCCACCATTTGATCAAGATAGGAGGACGAGAGTCGTCGGTCGCCTTTATGCGAGGGATTTCTTCTCCGTCATCACCTGATGGTCCTGATGTGTTTCCAGGGCATTAGACGGATACACTGAGGTTATTTAAATCACCGTTGTATGAGAAGACAACTAACCTGAAGATGTACTTAGCTGAGCGTGAGGTGATCTTTGTTCCTTGCCTGGAGATCCAGCTATCGAGTCATTACCAGCTTCTGGCCCTTGGGAAGCTGTCGTCTGCGCTTCTACTTCAGGGATTTCTTGATCAGGGCCTGCGTCCGACTGGTTTCCAGTCGGGGGCTCTTGAGTTGTTGCTGCTTCAGTTGTTGCCGACTGGTTTCCAGTCGGCGGCTGGTCACTCGGATTGGCCTGGTCACCCGAAGCATGGGCGCCGGTCGGCTGGCTTTTGGCAGTCGGCTGGCTTTCGGCAGTGGGCTCGGGGTCTTTGGATATATTTTGCTCTGCCATGGCTGGATCGGGGTCTTTTCCAGATGGATCTATATCAGATGGTTTCCTGCAAAGTATTCTTTCAGAATTTAGCATCATTTTCATGAGAGAGCTTACCAAAGTGAAATCATACCGAGAGGTCTTATACCTGGAAGATGTTCTAATTTTTAGCATTGCGCGGCCGGCCAGTTTTTTTCTGGGCATGGTGCGCTTTGGGGGTTTATTAGGCGAGCCCTTATCCCCAGATTTATCATCGTCGCCTTCATCGTCATCAAGCACCAGTTTCCTCTTGCGAGGACCCGTCTGACCAGTTGATTTGGAGGTCTGAGGCTGCGGATCTGGTCTGATCGTTGGCCCTCCACCTCCCTGAGCAGTGTGTTGGCGAGGAGACCGGCGCTGAGTGACTGGTGGATCTGACTTCATCAGTGCATATTCCTGAACAAGATGCTTCCATAGTTAGTCAATTCAGCATGAAGACGAAATTATGTTCTGATCATAGTTTGAAGATTTCCGATACATACCTGCGGAGGCGGATTGAATGCATTATATGGCACGACTGGCAGCTGGTGTGAGTAGCTGACGACGATTGCATTTGAGAAGATTTTATACATCCTCTCCTTCATGATTCTGAAATCCAGAGAGTCTGATTCTTCACGGTTAGGATCATACTTGCCGTCGAACTCGAATGCCGTGCGAGATCTTTCCTTGATTGGCGCTAGTCGGCATTTGATGAAATGCCGAGTGATCTGTTCTCCCTGTAAGCCTTGTTCTTTAAGATTTAACATACGATCCAACAACTCCAAGGCTTGTACTGCTTCATCTCCGATTGGAAGAGAGTTCCAAGTATCTTGGTACACTGGAGGAAGACAAGAGTACCCGGGAAGAGCAGGCTCGGGATTCTGGACATAGAACCAGTTTGCATGCCATCCTTTGTTCGAAGTCTTGAAGGGCATCGAGAAATATTTTTGACTCAGAGTTCCCCTTAGTTGGAATCCTGCCCCCCCGACTACACACGGTTTGTTCTTGTTTGGTTGGGGCTTGAGGAAGAAGATCCGGCGGAATAGGGCAAAGTGAGGTTTGATCCCCAAAAAGGCTTCACAAGCATGGACAAAATTGGCGATATGCACTATGGAATTCGGGTTTAGGTGATGCAAGCTGATTCCATAGAAATTCAAGATCCCGCGGAAAAATTTTGAGGTCGGAAGAGCAAAGCCGCCGTAGAAGAAATGCGAGAAGACCACAATCTCATGAGTATCCGGAGACGGGAAGGCCTCACCGTGCGCTGGTCGCCACCCGATGATCTCCTTGGCAGGGAGAACGCCGTGCGCCACCATCTCCTTAAGATTCTCCTCCGTTACATCGGATGACGCCCATTGGCCTTCGAAGCTTTCTCTCTCTTCCGCCATCAATTTCACTCAAATGTGCTGATTTGATTTGAGGGATGGCTTGGGAGAGGTGAGGGATTGAGGCAGTGGATCACGGGAAGGATTTTGATGCACTTTTCGGAGGTGGATTTGGCCGGAGTTGTGAACCCTAGTTCGCCGGCGCAGCTTTGCACTGTAGCAAGGAATGGGGAAAATGGCGAGCGTTCCGGCGGGGAAGACGAGGCGTCGCTTGGATTTCGGGTTTTATTGTTAAGGGTATCGGAAGTGCTAATGGGCCTAGGCCTGAACAGTACTTCAGCCCAATACTTTTAACAGCGTGGCCCATTGTGTTCCTTAGGGACTTAGGCATATTTTGCTTTGGCAATATTATGCGCACAACAGTGTTGCCCAATGCTGATCAAATCCTTTTTATGCGGTCATATAATTCTTTGGAATTATTGCAATGCAAATTAAAAAGGTGCCCGACAGAAAGGCGTTATGCTGTTTTTGCAAGCTCTTTTAGGCTACAAAAGCTGTTTGGGTTAACTAGGGATGACTTGTTTTTATTATAGTCATTTCCTTGGCATGTTATATGCCTGTTTTCATGGTAAATAGTCATGGCCTAGGCTATTCGACTTATTTATTACCATAATCTTTATAATACTTGATGGGTAATCTTTAGAGTTTTTATATTCGGATGCCTGTCGAGTGTGTTCATTCGTGAACCTTTTAGAGTGTAAACCACTCGGATTTCTTTTATTGTGGCTAAAAAGCAGTCGGCTAGCATGCCTATTTAGGCGCCGCGTATGCTTTTGTCATATAATGCACAATTGTGTTATTATTTTGTCTTTCAACTATATGTTTAGTTTGTTAACTAATCACATAGTTGGGGGCTACACCTAATTAGGTGCATCTATTCGATGCACCATATTCTTTATCTTTTCGCCCTTTACAGTCCACTCGGCAGATTTTGGCTTGAAGAGTTTGAAGTACTTGGATTATCATCTTTGAGAAGGCTATGATGGTCGACTGCAAAGGACTCGGGGGCTACTGTGGAGATTATGGGTATCCTATATCTACACGGCGATGGTATTTGAACTGGGTACAGGATACTTAATGTAGATAGAATATCTTATCTGTATCTCGGGTTTGTTTCTTAACTTGTGTATCAAGGAAACACCCTGAGAATTAGTCGGTTACGACTGTATTTTACCTGTATCTTCATATTCCGTTAGGAATATAGATTATCTTTTGTAACCCGGACTCCTTCCCATATATAAGGGGGGTCCGGGCGCCTCTAGGGGCATATGTTGATTTTTCCCGAATCATACAATCAATAATACACTCGGCGGATTCATCCCCGGACAGGAGTAGGGTATTACTTCTTTCATAAGAAGGCCTGAACCTGTATAAATCCTTTGTCTCCAAACCCATACACTTTTCTAGCTTGATAGCCACCCCCTTTATTATTGCCGAAATCTAGTTTCGACAAATACCAAGTCAATTTTTTTAAATTTTAACTACTGATAGCAAAAAATTTAAAAAATCAATCATGTAATTTGATGTACTAGTTTTATCATTAAACAAACTATCATAACATATCATTTAACTATTTTTATTAAAACATCTTACTTTTGCTGATATTATTGGTCAAAGTAGTATCTCGAAAACCGTCTTGAAGTCTAAAAATACTTATATTTTGGGACGGAGGAAGTACTTTAGTTTCTAACTAGAATCACCAAATTCAGTCCTAGACTTATAATTTACTACCTCCGTCCCAAAATATAGCAACGTCTAGATACATTGTCTTAGGATGGATCTTATTCCATACTAGACTGCTATATTCTGAGACGGAGGGAGTATGTTTTTCTCCGCCGCTGCACACTGGGAAGTAATCATGTGGTAGATCATCGGTTGATCCTCCTCAAACCGTACATTCTAGAGAACGTCTCGAATATGTGAAAGCAAGAACTGTCATCCTCCTCTTTGATTGGTCACTCACGGCAGGTCAATTCAATCATCTTTCGTTCGGAATTCGGAATTGATCCCGTACTCCCTCCGTTCCAAAAAAAAAACTTAATCTAGTACACGTTCCAACCAATACTAGATTAAGTTTTTTTTTGGACGGAGAGAGTATGCAACTCTTATCAAAAATATATACTCTAAACAGCAAATTTCAGAATGGCAACCAAATGAACAGCAAAATTTTAGCAAACATTGTTTCTTTTCTTGAGGAATATTGTAATCACATATTTGTAGTCGAATAAAGTACTAGCAGTGTTCACCCTCAAAATTTTAGCAAATTACTACAAGTCTGAAAAAAAAATATCAATTTTTCACACTTCTTATGTTTGTTGAGAAATTAGCAACATTTTCCCTTTTCTTCTGTGCCTGCTGATCAATAAGCAATGCTAAGCTGGCTTCTTCACACTTCACTCATACAGCAACATGTTTCTTTTCTTTTGTATTCTTTTTCTTGCTGCTCCTCGGTTACTTCAAAAAAATAGCACCCCTGCAACAAAAGAAGTAAAAAAAGGAAAAGCACCACGCAGAGACACACACAAACACAAGCCGACCATACTTCTCCCAGTTAGCTTTAGTTTCCCTGCTTCTCTCATTTCCTGCTCCTCTTTTGCTTTCCCCTATCGCTTCAGATGATTCATGCGTCATACCATGCAGTGCAGATTTTTTTTTCTCTTTTTTTTTTGTTGAGGAATTTCACTTTTGATGAATAGTAACATTTGATGCAGTGAAATTGCAAAACAACAATGAATTGTTCACACACACACACACACGAACTGAGTTGAATATACATCATCGAACAGCTTGTCAGGTTGGCCGCTCTGAAGTCTGAACCTATACTGACAATAAGAACAGAAGGGACTCTTGGCAAGAGAATGATGGCCAATTCGGCATCTCTGGCTTCTTAATTACACACAAGAAAAAAGGGAAAGAAAGAAAGAAAAAAGAGGAATCACCATAGATTCAAATCAAATCATGGAAGAATATGCGAAAGATTGGTCAAAAAAATGGCAGATTTCTTGAGAGGGAAGATTGCAACTTTTGTACATACCCCCACTACCAAAATCCTCTTCAGTAAAGGAGAAGCTAGCTACCTCTTTGCACAAAGCCAATGATCCTCCATCTTATGCATTGCCGGTAGAGCTGGCTAGTGCACATCATATAGCTCCTTCAGTCTCATCCAGATGCTCACTGGAAGAAGGGCTTTCTTCTTCTTCTCCGGCTAGTCTCTCCGCCGCGGCGCAACCGTCGTCTTCCCGGCACGCCTGAAAAGCCACATTTCTGTCAGCCATGGAGCTTTGGTAACCAACCTAGCAGAAGGTGAGTTGAAAGCTTTTCATGTAAGTTTGAACCTAATGTGCTTAATATTTGAAAATTTTAATTGTTGATGTTCAGAACCATGGCCCTCTTACTTACTGACCTGTGAGACCCACTGACAAATGCTGATATGCTGTTCTTTTGTTTTGTTATATATGTGGTGACAATAGTACTGTGTTGCCAATCATTTGTCTGAGATGCTTATCTTAGTTGGTTTCAGATAAACTAAACAAAAGCAGGGAGCAGAGATGATGAGGACATATTGTTCCAGTAGTGGAAGCTTAGATGCCTCAAATACTAATAACATAAATGGGCTGCTATTGATTATGTGTAAATAAATAAATCATCACCCTACTTGCTAAAACTAATATTTGTTATTTATTATAGGTGTAAATCATTTTGTGTTTTACTTTGATTTCTTATGCATTTTGTTAGTTTGTTTCTGAACAAACATATGCAATGTACATTGCATGCCTGAACTGACAACGAGCAGAGCAGAGTAGTCGTCAGACAGCATGAGCAGAGTATCAAGGAATGTTCATGCATGGCACAGTCGTCCATTCCAAGCCATTTTGGTCCATGTTTCTACTCGAATTTAGTACTCGAAATGCCATAAAATTTCTGAAGAAAAAAGAAAATGCAGGGTATGAGTCGTATGACTGAACAGCAATGCATGCATGATGCATCAACGAACCTGTTGTGAATAGGGTCAGGCCCCTTGGGGATCCTCCTCTTGCTGCCTCTGAACTCGTCTGCACCGGCCGAGTACCTCGCCGGCGACCCCGCCGTCAACTCCGTCCACCTCCCGCCGCCGCCGCCGCCAGCGGCCGCAGCACTCGTACCCTTCACAGCATCCATCGTCGTTGTCGTCGCCACCAAGACGCAGACGCAGAAGAAGAAGAAGAAGAAGAAGAAGACAAGAACTATCCTGCAGCACGCCATTGCCCTTAGCAACCTCTCTGACCGCCGCCTGATTCCCATATAGAAACAAGAGGAGACAAGACCCTTCTTCTTCTTCTTCTTATCGACTTATCTCAATTCTCTCCTCGATCTCAAGGAAGAAGGAATGGCATGTCGTGTCGTTGAGCTGTAGGAGAAGCAGAGAGCCAAGAGCCAAGCCAAGGTGTATGAAGCTACCAGACAGTGTTCAGAGAAGAGAAGAGAAGTTCAGAGAGAGGATGTATGATGATGATGACAACGACAATGACAACAACACTGACAAATGCCAAGGAATGTAAGGAAGCATGACACGATCTTAATTAGGAGAGGAGTACAGTGCAACACTGATAAATTGCTCAGCTAATGCGGCTTTTCATGGGGGTGGATTTGAGGTGATGGGAATCTGTGATTCTTATCCCCTCTCCTGCTGCAACGCATGGATGGATGCTTGCTTCGGTTTTTCTTCGCTTCTTTCTTTTTTTTCTCTCTTCTCATTCGCTTTGCGTCTCTTTGCGTGATATGCTTTGCTTTGGGTGGTGATGGTTGCTTTCTTTCTCTCGCTGCTGCTGCTGCTGCTGCTGCTGCTCGCGTCTTCCCCAGCTAGCTATAGCTTTGCTCTTTGTTCTTTGCCTTTGCGAGAGAGGGGGTTCAAAGCAAATCTGCCGCGCTTTTGTAGGACCAAGCATGGGGGATAGTGAGCTGAGCAACGTGAGTTGAGTGAGTGTTTGAATCTCCTGAAGATGAAGATAAAGATGAAGATTAAGATTAAGATTAAGTGTTTTACGCAAAACAAGGTGATAATAACGTGTGATTAATTGAGTTTCAATTATTACAAACTTGAAAAATGGATTAGTATAGAAAGTTTTCGCACGAAACGCACCGTTTAGCAGTTTGAAAAGCGTGCCACGAGTATCCAAAATTTAATCTTGCTTGCAGAAGAAACGAACAGGGCTGAGTGTTGCTTCAGTTTTGAGCTCTCCTCTCTTTGGAACTTTGTGGGTCCTCTCTCCATCTTTTTGCATTGCTAGCTTCTTCTTCTTCTTCCGGCCTCCTTTCACACTCTCTGCCCACACACCCACGGAATCTCTCCTAAGCTTCTTGATTTCCTTTCTTTTCTTTGTTTCTTTCTTTCTAGTTCGAGATTTTTTCTTGAGCAATTTTACGGTCCTTGAGGAGGTACTATGAGGTACCACTTTTTCTATTGTAAATTTAATATCTCTTAGTACCTAGGTACTATGAGGTACCAAATTTTACACTAAATTTTTGGTACCTCATGGTACCTCGTAAAGGACCGTAGAATTGCTCTTTTTTCTTTATACGGACGGACTTTGTTTATGGATGGTTCTTGCTTGTGGCCATGGATCCCACATGTCGTGGTTTCTTGGTGCCATCGGCTTGGATGTGCGTCGATATTCGTGCGCAATTTCGAATGAGGTCATTAATTGATACTCCCTCCATCCCATAATACGAGATAATTTTAGAGGGATATGACACATGACAATACTCGGTAGAATATATCGCATCCCTTCAAAATCTCTTATATATGGGACGTAGAGAGTAGATTATTGTTGTCTATATAATCTTCTCTTTCATCTTTCTCTTCCCTTCCCTTCCACCATAAAATTCTACTAGTATATATGACACCTGCTCTTAGATGTAACATTACAATATTATTGATGCCCTGATATGGTAGGATTAAAATGGCCGAAAATGATATTATTTTTACGGAAATGGTATAGCTAGGATTATTTTTATATTTTTAAATGTAACTCGATATTTTTTTTCTTTTTTATTAATGTAGGATTTTCAACTTTTGATAGGACGTTGTGGCTACCTTTTCTATTAATTTAAGATAATGATGTATAGATAAATTTTGATTGTGCCTCCCAACTCATCATGTGCTAGTTCTTACAACCGGATATATTACCCATATAAAATGCCGGAAATTTGGCCATGTTGTTTTCTATCTCTAAATAAATTAACAGAGTTGTTGTAGGATCCATGTTCTATCTGAAAAATATAATATGAAGTATTCCTACGACCTCTCACAAAACACGCGAACGGGTCCTTGTAAAATTTGAGCATAATTTATTTAAGGGGCAAGTGAGACTAACATCAATTTTGTCAGTGACCCACTAACTGCAGAACACAAGACAAGGACAAGGAGCACAAGCTCTGTAGAGGAACACTAAAAAAACGAGATTTCTCCAAACATTTTTTTCTAAATTGTGAGTATGTTGAGAATTGAACACGGTATTTTTGAGGTTGAAACCACACGCTCCATATCACTGTACTAAGGATATCTCTGAAAGGGAAACACTTAAAAAAAATAAGCATTAATATGGCCCATATATATGAAGTGTCCAAAGAAGGAAGAACAAAGCAGTTAGCAGATAACAGGTAGGCCCAAGTACATGAGTTCAAAACAAGGTATTGTCCAAAATTTGAAGGAATAATTGTACTTGCACACAATCATTTCGCTTCTTCCGCTCACTTTTACTTTCTTTTTTTTATTCCCCTTTCGACAGTCACCTCTTTGGCTTACTGACAAAGGATCGAATTATGAGAGAGATTATGCCAAATTAAGAATAAATGCCTTTTTAATCCAAAACTGGTAGAAAAGAGATTGCCCACTTCACTGGCATTTTGTCCTTAAATGGCTCATCAACCAAACCAAATCAATAAAGTACAAGAACATTCAATTGACAGAGCTTGAGAGGTTGTAAAAAAACAATTCATTTCAAGTCACTCAGCTTGTAACAGTCCTCATCAAATCAACCTTTCTTACGACATAAAGACTCTCATTGCCAAAAATTCCTTCCAACTATTGTATATGAGTTAGACAAAGTTCTAAACTAACTATTATCTCTGTTCTCAAATTAATTATGTTTTGCATATTTGTAATAAAAAATTAATAAGATTTATTATGGAAAACTGGCATAAAAAAATTTCCATGGAAAATACTACTATACGTTACATTGATTAAAAAATTGTTACAGTCAAAGATGAAGATGCAGGAACGTGGAAGTAAATAAAACAAAAAAGTTAGAATCACGGCCAATCTATTCCGGCCTCATCTTTTTCGCTTATGCTTATACTCTCTCCGTACTTATAAAGGAAGTCGTTTAGGACAATGTTTAAGTCAAACCTTGGGAATATAAATCATGAATAACTCTCAAGTTATTGAGTTTGAAAATGTAAAAATTATATGAATAGATTGGTCTTGAAAAATATTTTCATAAAAGTATACACACATCACTTTTTAATAAATATTTTTATATAAATAAGAAGTCAAAATTATGTTTTGGAGACCGTGTCGCTGTCCTAAACGATTTCCTTTACGAGTACGGAGGGAGTACTTATCAGACAAAATTTAAATTTTCAACCTTAAATTTGGAGTTGTTTTTGACTTTTTCATCGAAGTTTATTTTTCAGCCTTTGTTTTTAGAACGCTAAGAACATGTGTATAAAAGTTTTATTCACAAATTACTTTTCGTTTGTAAATATGCCGTTTGACTTATTCCACAAATAAGCGAAACGATGAAGCCGTTCATATCTTTTACACTTTTACTGAGATTTTGAGATTTTGTGTGATCACATAGATGAGCGTGCGTATGTATGAACACCAGTATTTGTACAGTATTCAAAATAAACCTACATCAAAACACTTTATATATAGTGCATTTAAGCATGCATCCACCCACTTTAATTAGCCTTTAGCTAAGCCATCAAACGTGCAGGTTGGCAGCAGAGAGGGCTTTTTTATTTTTTTCTCTTGCTCCGAGAGATTTTTCCGAAAGAGCCCCTGCACTTTCCTCCTTTCCCAGACGACGACGGAAAGTCCCCAGTCAAATACGGCCGTCTTTAGCTTCACTCAACTCGATCGCTACCTCGTGTAATCTACTCATTGCTACCATTCATCCATGTTTTTTTGTTGAGATAGATTTAGAGATCCTTTAGTAAAAAGAGCGTATATCCTGCAGGCAGATGCATGTGATCCATCTATACGAATCAGGTGTCTTTTTTTTTCTTTCAATCTACGTACTTTGAGATGAAGACGATGATGATGATGAATGAATGAATCTAGCCTGGTTATTCCAATCTTTTGTTAAAAGAGTAGATGGCCGTATATACCCTTGATCTGGCATCTCTGCACGTATGTGTACCTCGATCCGGGAGCGTATAGATGCTCTGTAAAAACATGCCCTTTTTTCTTGATGCAAAGTTTATGACAGATTATGGGATGGAATTAATTAATTTCTTTGAAGTATATGAGAGCAAATTTTATAGAAGATTAGGTGGTCGTCGCCTCTAATTTTATCCATCTAAACTTGTGCATTAATACATTATCTCTAAATTAGCTCTACCACGCCAATCTCAATAGTTTATTTTATTTGTTTGCCTAATTCACTCTTCATTTTTCTCCTTTTTTTTCGAGTTTGTGCAGAGGCTTGCATTCTCTTTTTTTTTCTCTCCTTCACTTTATTATATTAGTTTATGTGATATTTTAGGGCAAGTGTACAGTAGGTTATACACTTGTGGTACTTGCTCTGAGATTCGCCGTTTGATCTTCGGCACAACTTCTTCAAAGTGCAAAGCATTGTTGAACGATGTGCGTTTGCGTGATTGGTTGGTTAGGAATTTTGTGTCGTGTCTCAAAGTGAGAGACGAATGATCAGGTCACAGGCTCAAGCACAGTAGTCCACCTTGGTGTCTTCGCATCCGGTTTTTGTACCGTCCATCCAATTTGCTTCAGCCTGATTCATAGTAGTACTCCTAACCAAAACCCAGCTACTTATGCTATACTGATCAGTGATTGGATTAAGTTATCACCGAGTGGAGAACATTGTAGCACAATACAAAATTACAGTTAATACTGCTAGTGCATGTTCAGATTTATAGTCAAGACCCCTTACATTTAAGGACAAAGGGAGTAGTAATGTGATGGAATCAAACCACTCTATAGAAATGTTTATGAAAAAATCTGTATATATTTAGATGAGATCGCATTGACAGAAGATTTATCCTACTCAAACGAGCATAGGAAGATGGCAACTATAAATCTGTAAAAAAAAATTGAAAGATTGTTATAAAATTATTATAAGAGTTCAAGATAAGAGAAATGAAACAAACTAATCTCCTGAAACAGATTTTCTATGGATATTAAGGAGAGTTGAAATTCAATGAAAGACTGTTGTGGTTAGTTGAGATAAAAAAAATGAAGAGAGAGAGATGGTTATTTTTTAGAAGTGTAGAGGGAAGAGGGGGAGGGAGAGAGTTTCCCCACCTAAATCTTGTATTGATCATTATAAAGATACATAGCACCGTTTTTAGAACAAGGGAGTGGATAGAATATTAAAAGCACAACATAAGGGATGAAGAGAAAGACAACATAGCACACAAACATGAAGAAAAAAATATGAAGCCACGAAGATACTAATGTTAAGGGCTCATAACACCGGTTTACACCACTTTTGAGAACATCAACTTGCTGACTTAATACTGAAAAATTGAGGGCTACATCACTTGTCTTCATGAAACCAACCAAACATGTCTTCATGAAACCAACTAAGCCTGCCTATTAGGTTGTTGTTCTTTCCGATGCCACCCAAAACCCTTTGAGGGGAGGGGAGATGATGGGCATAGCTTCAAAGGTGGGTCGTTGTAGAAGTATGAGTAGATCCAAGATATGATCTAAGAGCTTGCTACCCAGTTTTCAACTAGATGAGTAAGCCTAACCTCCAACGCACATTAGATATGAAAACCTTCATTCTAAAAAGCTGATCTCCAACTACCATCTGATTGCCACTCAATTAGACGCCTACTTAAAGGGAGGGAGGGGCGCTAGAAGATAGCAATGCGATCCAAGAGGGTTCAGCGGATAGGAGCTAAATTAGCATGAATGACATAAGCAAACAAAGGAGAAAAACGAAGGCAAAAAATGCTTTCAAGAGGCAAATGCTAAAAAAATGATATATGACGAAAGACAATGGCCTTAACAAATGGGAAAGTGCACTAAGAATGTTTACCTAGCTACCTATCGGACCAAGGTGGCAACAAACTGAGAGGAAGCAAAAAAGATCAAATTGTTGGAGGTTGGAGCAAAGGAAAGGGCAAACACCCGCCATGCCAGAAACAAAGGAGATCAGCTCTACCATCGCTTATCATGGTTGCAAATTGCTAGGACTCATAACCTTCCTGACGAGCAACTATTTTCTAGTGGATGGATATGTGTGCCGCCAACTGTTCTATGAGAAGCCAATTCTCGTTTATCGAAGCCATGGTCGGCTAGAAATGCTCTACCTTAGCGGCAAAGGCAATTGTTTCCAATGAAGGTGACTAGCTGCTGAGAGGAAATTGCAGATGAAACAACAAAGGACAAGGGGATACTCGCAAAGGAGACATGATGTCTATGACCAAATCCGACCCTAGCCTGCACGAAGGAGGGAGACAAGGTAGGGGGAGATAGGGAAGAGAACGAATGTCGGACGAGATAAATGATGATAGGAGATAATGATGTGGAGCACAGAGCCGTAGACCGGCTAGAACTCATCGGGTGTCATCGGCAAGCTACGTCGCCTAAGCACCTTCAAGCCCTCTCCTAGCACCAGTTTTAAGGTCCAGGTGATAGCAAATGTGAAAAAATGTTAAGGCAAGGAAGAAAGAGAAAGGGAGAAAGAGGACTAAGAAGATGGATAGAGAGGACCTTACAGGAGGTGGGGCTGCCGTCAGCTATGGCAAAGGGTAGGTATTAGGGTTAAGACTCAGGAGGGTCCTCGCTTCTCAGGTCATTCGGAGGAGCAAGATACCATGAACAATTGCTATGATTGGTTGATATAAATAAATATGCAAAATCTAAATCGAGAGCACTCTCGATTTAGTCATAACGAGCGACCCCCATCAGCATTATCTAGATATGTGTTAACTTAAAGAATCTTACTTTACTATAGTACTAATCCATTAAGTAAGTAGGGAAAATATTCCTATCATCTATGCTTCAAATAAATTTTCTCTTAAATTACTCATCCGATTTACAATCCAATTACACCGTTGTGTTCGTAACAATTAAATCTTTACAACAAGATCTTACATGATTATATTTTGATAAAAAATCACAAATTACTTTTATGATATGTCTAAATTACTTTTAGACTTCACTAAGTTACTTCTTAAACATATAAAAGTAAATTCAGTAAAATCTAAAAGTAATTTACATATATTATAGAAGTAACTTAGAACAAAAAAAAGTAACTTTGGCATGTCATTTGAAATAAATCCGTTGTAGAGATAAAAATATGACTCTATCTAGAAATTAATTTAATCAGCACAAATTATGAAATTAAGTAAAAACAATAATAAAAATAATCACCTCAGAGCATTATGAATGTATAGGAAGTATTTTAATAAAATCTAAAAGTAACTTTTATATATATATATATATATGATAATTCGTTTAATGAAAAAGACATTAATTAAAGTTACCTTCGTTTTGTTCTAAGTTACTTATATAATATATGTAAATTATTTTTACTCTTTATTGAATTTACTTTTATATGTCTAATAAGTAATTTAGTGAAATCTAAAAGTAATTTAGATATATTATAAAAGTAAATTATTATTTTTCATAAAAATATAATCATGTGAGATCTTGTTATAAAGATTTAATTGTTACGAACACAACGGCGTAATCGGATCGTAGATCAGATAAGTAGTTTAAGAGAAAATTGTATTCGAAGTATATGTAGATAGTGTCTCTCATGGATGGAGTGGTAGCTACCGCCAGTTGTGTAGTCATGTCCAAATAAATATGTTAAGCCGTGAAAATTAACTATAATATAAAATTTAAATGTTAGAATTAACAAAGTTTTAAAAAAGAAAGCAATATTACCTCTAAACTAATGCACGTCAAATACAATGCATCTAGTACACGACGCAGCACAAGCACGACAACTGCTTGGACCTGGTCAGCGCTGCTGACGTGTGAATGGCGTGTGGCCCATCGCGACACGCTCTCTGTCAAGGCGCCGCGAGCACGTCACCGCGAACCGCATCCATCCGCACCCCGCCCGGATCGCGACACGTGACGCGACCCCCGCCGTCGGATCAGGCCCCGCGTCGCCATCCAACCCCCACCCCACGAACCTCGACGCCTTCCCGTCCAGGTTCACTTCCCCACTCCCCCACCTCGTCATCTTCCTCCTCCTCCCCACACCACCACCCCCAGATCCCGCAAACCGCGAAACAAACCACCCCCGCATCTCTCTCTCTCTCTCTCTTCGTCGAGCTCCTCCTCCTCCGCTGCTGCTGCCGCCCATGGCTTCGTCGTCGAAGAGGAGAGGCGGGGCTGGAGGTGGAGGAGCGGAGAAGAAGGACCTCTTCCATGTCGTCCACAAGGTGCCCGCAGGGGACAGCCCGTACGTCAGAGCCAAGCACCTGCAGGTGATTGCACTTGTTCTTCTTCTTCTCTGTTCTTGCCGATTCTCTATTGAGCTTTTTCCTCTTCTTGATGAGTAGGAGTAGTATAGTAGACGATTCATGATTGTACCAGCTAATTAACCAGCATTGAATTGGTAGGTATAGGGTATAGCTTAGCTTGATTATGATTATGCACGAGTGTTCCGTTTGTCAGTTGTGATAACTTGTATTCAATCCGAGTGAGTTTTTTTTTATTAATTCGGTATGTTTAATTTAGGAATTTTTTCATGCCAATTGGCGGTTTTCTTGGCACTGAAAGGAGGGTATCTCTCGCGTTGATTATTAGATCTCCTTTTTTTTTCTTTTCCTAATTCTTGCCGTAAATATTTTCCTGTCCATGAAATTATAGCCGCAAACTGACTCGTTTTCCTTTCAATAGTAACGGCTAACTGTCGTCGTATGTTTATCCCCAAGGTTGTTGTTTAGTTTGATATTAATTGGAGTTATTCAGTTATTTGCTTTGTCTCTTTGCAGTTTGCACCATAGTAGTAGTACTGTTCATTGAATCGTTGACTGTATTATGATCCAAACACAGGGATGATTTGATTGCCTAATTTTGAGGTCCACGAGATTAATATTGAACTACTTATCATGCTTTAAAAAAAATCCAGTCACACACTTTAATTCAGGATTAGTAGAGACACAAGAATTTACTGAAGTTCTCACAGAATTCAGTAGTAGTTGCTAACCTCGGCAAAACAACTTCGTTTCGATGAATCAGCTTGTCGATAAGGATCCGGAGACAGCCATCGTGTGGTTCTGGAAGGCGATCAACTCCAGGGACAAGGTGGATAGTGCCCTGAAGGACATGGCTGTGGTGATGAAGCAGCAGGATCGCGCCAAGGAGGCGATAGAAGCCATCAGATCATTCAGGCACCTCTGCTCAAGGCAGGCTCAGGAGTCCCTTGACAACCTTCTGATCGACCTCTACAAGGTGTGTTTCGTTCTAGTTCTACCTGCATATCTCACAAAATTACTAACAAAATGATTGCTGCGGTGTACTGACAATATGCGGGATTTCATTTTCAGAAATGTGGCAAAGTCGATGAACAGATCGATCTACTGAAACAGAAGCTGAAGATGATATACCTTGGAGAGGCCTTCAACGGGAAGGCGACCAAGACAGCACGTTCCCATGGGAAAAAGTTCCAGGTCTCTATCCAGCAGGAGACTTCTCGCATTCTGGTACAGATTACCGCTCCCCCTGTTACTCCTACTGATTGGTAATTTGGCATGTCAATGCTGCATTCAGTTACACTCGAAGTTACTGAAACCTTCTTGTGTGCATATTACAGGGCAATCTTGGCTGGGCTTACATGCAGCAGAGCAACTATTCAGCCGCTGAATTGGTGTATCGCAAGGCGCAAAGCATTGAGCCTGATGCCAATAGGGCATGCAACCTTGGGCTGTGCCTAATTAAGCAGAGCAGGCATGATGAAGCAAGACAAGTACTTCATGATGTTGTGCTACGCAGAATCTCCGGATCGGAAGATGACAAGGTGGTAGCCCGAGCTAAGCAGCTTCTCCATGAACTTGAGCCGGTGACGCATGTTACGTCGCCAAATAATGCTGGGCTGAGTGTCAGTGAAGAGATCATGGAGAGACTAGACCTTGTGTTGAACGAATGGACGCCGTTCAGGTCAAGGAGGCTGCCGGTATTTGAGGAGATAGCTACCTTAAGGGACCAAATTGCTTGTTGATCCCTTTATTCGCAAGGTTTTTGTTCTTTTGCTTAATGTGCATACGGGTGCGTTGCCTTAGAAATTCATGTGCATATGTAGAGGCTGTTGTGGGCTTGTGGCAGTGCGAGTAATGGAGTAAAGGTTGTGATGTTCAGATAGATATCATATAGCTAGAGATCATGCAAAGCATCCAAGGAATAGTGTATTTTGTCTTCATGTTCTATGATGCTTATAATGTGTTGTAAACATTCTACAGACTACAAGAAATCCAAGTGTACACTTCACTTGGCTTGTTGGAATCAAAAACTGGAAGACTGAAATGGTTTGGTTTCAAGTTTGCAGCACAAAATGTCTCTTTCTCTGAAGTAAAAATGAAAATCTTCGCTATGGAATGCAGAGTTGGTCCTAGAGATGTATACTTCCGTTATCCTTTTTTTAAAAATACTAATACAAAGTTGAAAGGAAACAAAATGATGGGGAAAACAAAAATCAGTCAGATCATATCAGACAAGCATTTCCAGTTCGAACTGGCCTGTTTAGTTCCAAAGTTTTTTTCTAAACTACCAACTTTCCATCGCATCAAACCTTTCATACACACATAACTATTCTATCACATCGTACCAATTTCAATCAAACTTCCAAACTTCAGTGTGAACTAAACACATCAGTGTGAATTACTAACAACAGAGAGCAGCATACATCAAAGTATCAAACAGCCAAACACCATCTATATTCCGTGACAGAAAGGCACCCAAGAATTGGATGACTAAAAGAAATTGCAGTATTATTCATGAACAAACTCCAACATTAATATTCACAAATTGAGTATTTGCTTTCTTTCTGATGTTTCTGTCACTACACCATTTCTTTTCAAGCTAATAGTAACTGTACAAATCTACTTCCCCATGTCAGAGAACAGAGCAAAAGTAAGTTCCATCCTAGATGAGTGAAAACTCACAACAGGTACAAGAATGTGTTAAGTTCTGAACACCAGAAAATTCGCGTGTCAGAGCACTGAACTACTCTCCATTCTTCATACACTGATGCGTGCCGTATGCCCATTTCCAAATGGAAATTGAAGAGCACTCGCCACTGCAGATACAGAATTTACACAAAAAAAAAACATAAGTAAACTGTTTCACAAATGTTACCATGTCAGCAACATGCACGAGCACAAAAAGTTCAGAAAACTTGCACCTCTGGAGGAGTGCAAGACGAGGACGAACTCCATGTCTCTGTTGCCGGGGGGGAGGTCGAGGACGACGGGGAACAGCCCCGGCGGCGGCGCGGCGCACCTCCGGCGGCAGACGACGAAGTCCTCCCGGCGCGCCTCCTCCTCCAGCCGCCGGCGCAGCGCCGCGAGGCTCTGCTCCTTGAACGTGAAGTACCTCCACGTCCCCTGGTCGAAGTCGTCCACGCGGCCGTCGTCTCTCGCCGTGTTGTAGAAGATCGTCCGCGCCACCAGCGCGCCCGGCGCCGCCTCGCTCGGCGGCTCCTCCTCCTCCTCCCCCTCCTCCGGCGGCGGCGGCGGCTTCACCACCTTCAATTCCTAGAGAAAGAGAGATCCCATTTGCAATTCAATTATTCAAGAATTCAAGATTATGCACATCTCAGCTTAAGAATTCAAGATGGAAGAAAGCCAAGCACCTTGGCGGAATAGAATCTGACGAAAGCAGTAGTGAACGCCGTGTCGGGCTCCGACGTGGCGGCCTCGAGGCGGGCGTCGCAGGACAGGGCGCGGCAGCGCGGCGGCGGCGCCTCCGATTCCGGGACGACCTCGACGACCCAGGAGCTCTCCTCGGGGGCGGCGTCGCGGTCGACGGTGACGGCGTTCTCCCGCGGCGTGAGCCCGAACCTGGCGCGGAGGAGGCGGCCGTAGAGCCCCGTGAGCGTGAGGTGTTCCCCCTCGCGGCGCGGCGTCCACAGGAAGGCGCCGTCGTTGGGGCTGGGCGGCGAGCCCGCCTGGATGACCCAGCAGCACGCCGCGGAGCCGCGGCAGCCGCCGTCGAGCGCGGCGGGGAGCTCGGTGGCGCAGAGGTAGAGGCCCCGGTGTCCCTGCAGCCTGACGTAGTCGTCGCCGGAGGTCTCCACGGCCCAGACGGTGCCCCGGCAGTTGCGGCGGTAGCCGTGGGTGACGGCCTCCCCGCCGCCGCCGCCGCCGTCGTCCGCCGCGCAGAGGTACGTGCCCAGGTGGCTCCTGAGCCGCACCGACCTCGCGTTCTCGAAGACCTCCATTGCTGCCGCGGGGCCAAGAAACCAAGAACCGCTTCTTGATTTGGAGAGACGGGTTTGGGCGGGAGGAGGAAGACGAGGCTAGTTGGGGGGGTATTATTGTCCTTGGCAATTCCAACCTTAACGGCTTCCGATTGTGGTAAACCGACTACGTGGCACTTTATGGGGCGTTGGGATCTAGGATCAACGGCTCAGATTCGGCACAATTTAGGTATCTCACGCTTCAGTGCTTCACCGCCATCATCATTTATCAGCAAGTACATGAGACCATTTCCTGTTACTTGTGACTGCACGCTAAGGTTTTGTTCGGTTTGGAAGGGGTTAAAGGGGATTGAAGGGGTTTAAGGGAAAATAATTCCACACCACAATAGATGTGGAATAAATCCCCTACAATCCCTCTCTCTTGGGATTAACCGAATATAGCCTAAGGAGGATTACTCGTGCCACTTTGTTTTCGAACTCTCCATTCCTACATTTCAGGGGAAATTTGCCAAATACTTCGATATTAAATTTATTTATTTATAGTAAGTACTCAAAGTGCTCAATTTCTCTTCGTGTTTGGGGTGTATTTTAGGCCCATTTATAGCAGTGGAGTAAGTTCCACTTTAACTCCCTCAAATATACATCTAATCTAATTCATATCCATCAATAGTAATACTAGATATCTTGAACTCCTAACAAATAAAATCGGTACAAAATGATTTCCTCGGTGGTTTTAAGGGTGGTTTCCACTAGCGTGGCTCGTTTACTAGTCCAAACATCGAGTCAGCATGTGATGCCCGTCAATGGGCTGTAACCAAATAGGATATTTGTAGAGTATGAGAATCATTGGTGCCAGGGTATACGCGAGTTTGAGGTAAAAGAGATAGGAGGCATGGATTTTTATACATGTTCAACCTCCTTACCTGATAGACAATAGCCCTACTCCCGTTGGCTAAATCTAGTGTTTTATATATCAGTACCATATATAGTACAATATCTGGGATGACCTAATCTAGTCGCTGCTGACCTAAATAGTCCTTGTAGCATCCGAGTAGAACTATATTTCTCCTTTCTTATCCGGAATATCTTCCGTATACGAGGCATGATTCCGTATAAGACTATAATAGTTGGTGTATGGTGAGCCTCACTTTGCTTAATACAAAAGTATTGGGTATGCCTTATCTATAACACTGACAACGCCCACCTGTCATCATCTCTCTCTTATTCCCTTCCTCCTCCCTCTCTCTCTCCCATTCCCTTTCTCCTTCTCGACAGTGGCGGTAGGATGAGAGGAGCGCCAGAGGAGTTGTTTTACACCAGTTTTAATAGTTAGAGAATGTCAAGATACCCGGTTTTATGAATCAGATTCGACCTATACATTAAGGGACTCATAGTGGACCTTTTCCTCTAGCAAGCTTCCTTCCAGCACTTGATCGGCCCAACCCAATCACACGTGGGCCCCACCCCCGCAGCTGCCCTTGCGCCGCTTACCAGTCCCACTCATTCACATCCCTACCCAAACTGTAATTACAGACAACTCGAGGGGGGCATCTGCAAAATACCACTACTCTCCGTCTCCTCCTTGGTCCAAGGGTTAAAAATCCCTCGTCCTCGAGGTAGTCGCGACCTCTCTCTCCTCCGTCTCTCCATTCCCCACTCGCTCTCGCCTCTCCCCCCTCCTCCCCACCATGGCGGTGAAGGGGAAGGGCAAGGCGGTGGCCTCCGCGTCCGCATCCGGCGGCGGGGTCAAGCGGCGGAAGGGCCCCGGCGACGCGGCGGGGCCCTCTTCCTCCTCCTCGGCGGCCGCGGAGGCCGCCAAGCGCCGCCGCCGGTCTGGGGTCCTCCAGTTCTTCGACGACGCCGCCTTCGTCGGGGACGAGGAGGAGGATGAGGATGAGGAGGAGGAGGAGGAGGAGGAGATGTTCGCGTCCGACGGCGACGACGACGGTACGGATCGCCTCCCGGTTCCCTGGACGACGACGAGTTGGGGCTGCTCTCGCGGGCGGGTTGGGTTGGTTTGGGGTTTGGGGGGTATATGAGCAATGCGGCTTCTATTGGGTCAGTCGCTTGTTGGGGATTTGATTTACTACATGTGTTGTTGTATTGGTTGGTTGGATTTGTGGTGCTTGGGGGTTTCAGTGACTGTGTCCCAAAATCTCGCATGTTGAAACTAGGGTTTGGATGAGCACTTAAGAGGTTGAGAGGTGTTGATGCATATGGAAGTGTTTGGGTGAGGATTTAGATCAATAAACTTCTGTTTTGAATGGAGACACAGCTTACAGGTTTCTAGTAAGTGGCTCGGTGAGTGAGCCACTTTCTCTGGAGCGATTCGATGGTCAGTGGTAGAGTAGAGTCTGGGAGGACTTCGTCCTGTTGCTTCTCCTTTCGTTTGAATCCATCTTGTTAGAAGTTTTTGTTGGCCTTAGACCAGACAGAATATTGGGCAAAAAACAATTTGTTTGTGCCTGTGAACTTGCCATTGTTCTACTGTAAGAGCAAATGTTTTTTTTTTATCTGAAGGATTAAAGAACCAAGGAATCTATAATGTCCACAATTGTTTTCATTTTTTGCCATTTTGGTGCATGGTGAGGTAAGTTAATGCTTCCCTTTTCTGTTCTTTTTTTTTCCTTCAATCATTGGTATGGTGCTGCATTTTCATACTTAGGATGACAGTGTCAATCTTTAATTTTTTACCATTTGATCTTTTGCCTATGTTAGGACTGATTATTCTGGCTACTTGGCTAGAAGATATTGCTGTATTTTACACTTAATGTTCATAGTAATTACCAGGACGATGCATGTTATTGCACTTGAAATGGCACTAGTGAGCAATTTATCCTGCAGCTTTTGGCCATTGGCATCTTAAAATGTTATTATTGCCTGATTATTCTTTGAATCTTCTGTTGATGCAATCTTGTTCATTAACTGCAGGTTTCTTCACCGAGGGAAAGGCAGAAAATGTTAACTTAAAAAGAACTGAAAGGTCACACCCTCTTCCGTTTCTTGGGATAGTTAAGGAAGAGGAGCTGAGTGGTGATGAACTTGAAGAATTTATCAAGGATCGTTATTCAAGTCGAGTGAAACACACCCCTTTTGATGGCTCCACCAATGTACAGGATGACGAGTTTACCGAGGATGGTCTATTGAAAGAGCCAGTAATTTGGAGGATCAAATGCATGGTTTGTGATTTACTAGTCTTTGACCTTACATTGTTAATCTAGTATTTGGCTGCAAGGTTCTGATTTGTTTGGCTGCATTTCAGGTTGGGCGTGAGCGCCAAATTGCTTTCTGCCTCATGCAAAAGTATGTTGATCTGCAAAAGTTTGGTACCAAAGTTCCAATTATCTCAGCATTTGCACTTGATCATGTGAGAGGATTTGTTTTTGTTGAAGCTGAGAAGGCCTGTGATGTTACAGAGGTACATGATTTGTGGCTTCCATTGTAAAAAGATACCCACATTGAGGAGAGCAAGTCAAATACAGTAGATGTAATCATTTATTCATTGCATTATGTGGTTTGATATCATGCTCTGTGAAGGGTTGAGAACTTATTCTTTTATCTGCTACTCCTACTTAAATTAGCACTGTCTTCTTTTTGCCATTTCTCACACACTTCAATTCAATTCACTCTTTTGTGTAACATAATAATTTGAGGTTTGGAACTGAAATAGGCTTTACATGTGTAGTTCTGTTACTAAAATCATAGTTTCTATGATAATCTAGGAAAAAGTTGTTTGCTCAAAGATTTCTTCCTGTCCTGCTTGTAATCTGACCTACTGAACATTTGCATTTCTTACTACAGGCATGCAAAGGATTTTGCAGTGTTTACATAAGCAGAATTAATTCTGTTCCTGTAGCTGAAGTTCCTAGCTTGCTATCAAGCCGCGCAAAACCATTTGCAATATCTCCAGGTACATGGGTGCGCATGAAGACTGGAATTTATAAAGGAGATCTAGCACAGGTATGTTTAACTCAGCTTCTTACTTTTCTGGGCCCCCAACCCTTTTACATATCGTCACATTTTTTTGTTCTTACATCACTACACCCCTGTGAATTTGTAGGTTGTTAGTGCAGATGAGGGGCGAAAACGGGTGATGATCAAGCTTATACCCAGAGTTGATCTCCGGGCTATTTCAAAAAAAATTGTAATTCTCTTATGCCCTCTTTCTGTATTATATTTATTTTTGGCAGTAAATGATGCCTCTCATTTTTAGTTGGTTTCATTTAAGTTGTACTGACTTATCTATATCAATGTATAATACCCCAAGTAGCTTTGTGAAAGTCTTGTGAAACTCTAACTAAGCTAATTACATTATATATTGCCTGTACCTGTTGAAATTCTTACATTTCCAATGATGGGTATGTACCTCGTCCTTTTTCCCCCTGGTGGTGGGGTGGTTAGGTTGGAGCTTCATCTTTGTCAGAGAAACTTCACATGTCATTGTTGTTTTTTGGTACACTGGATAATGTGACATTCCAGTGAAACCATGTGGTGTCTATTGCGTATTTCCATTTTGCTCAACTGTAGTATCATGGCTTGGGTGGCTTATATTATACTGTTGTTTTTATCTTTGATTGTACTATTGTCTTGTTCATCTGTTTTTCTTGTTAACAACCATTTCTTTTTATTTTTTTCTTCCATTGTTCTTGTCCTTCTAATAGTTTGAGTTTGCTACCACATTATTTATATTAGCCTTCACCTTTGCAGGGTGGTGCTATTCCACTAAAAGAAGCTGCAATTCCTGCTCCACGTCTAATCAGTTCACAAGAATTAGAGTAAATACTTCCTTTCTGTTTCCAGTGTCTCTCTTCATGCACTCAGTATCCTTCTCATATCATTTGTTTCTACCTAGGCTTTTGACACTGTTGCCACGATCTCATTGATATTAGGTTCTTCGGATCTCATATTGAAAGGAAACATGATCGCCAGACAAATGATTTTTATGAAGTGCTTGATGGTCTCATGTTCAAAGATGGTTTCCTGTATAAAAGGGTTGCACTTAGTTCTTTGATTTACTGGGGGATACAACCAACAGAAACTGAACTTCTCAAGTTCTCTTCCACTCCAACTATTACAAGTTCAACTGATGACTTGGATTGGGTCTCCAGCATGTATGGTCCTAAGAAAAGAAACGTTCCAAAAGAACCGGATATGGAGCCTTCCTCTTCGAAAGCTTCATCTTCTAAAGGAAAATACTCCAAGGCATCTTCTAAGGCATCCACTTCTACTGAAGATTACGAGGATAAAGGATTTAATCTCCATGATCTTGTACTCTTTGGGTCAGTCTCTGTTATGCAATCCTTACTAATTGTCACAAAAGTTTAGCAGATGTCATCCTTATTTTTGTTTCATATAAACAGGCGAAGAGATTTTGGTGTGGTCATTGCTTTTGAGAAAGATGGTCTTAGGGTAAGATTCTTTATAGCACACTATTGTACCACATCCATGATTTTTGTCTGAGAATATACTGTTTTTTTTTAGATATTAAAAGGTGGTCCTGAAGGATCTGCAGTAACTGTTAGAAAGCAGGATATTAAGGACGTTTGTGCAGACAAAATGCTTACTGCTGTTGATCATAAGAAGAAGATAATATGTATTAATGACACCGTTAATGTTCTGGAAGGGCCATTCCAGGTGAAATGTTAACCATCCCTTATTCCCTTTAGCAAGAATTGTTGTAAAGTTCTTTTTGCCTGTAATCTGGGAAAATATGCATCTTTTTTCGTTCTTTTCAAGAAAACATTCACCTGAAAGAATTCTAAAGGCAAAATTGGTTCCATTCCACTTGAAAGGTCACTAGTTTAGATATATACCATTGAAAGATTGTGGTGCACTTTAATACCATCGAAAGGTACATCTGTTTTAATTTTTCTTTTTACCATTCCATCCTTTGCCAGTTTGGTTTTTTGCTATTTTTCCTTTTATTTCCACACCAAAAGGGTGTGCGTCAGTACATGTTTGCCCTCTACTGCAGTGCTGTTTGGTTTCAGCCAAGCACGAAGCAGTTTAATCAACCAAGCAAACTGACCCCCAAATTCATGAGAAAACCATCCATGCCTACCTCAGTAACCTTGCTAGTTGATATACCTCCATCCCAACAAAATCCCCTGCTCTATGCCCTCTGTTGCACCATCCTTTGATATCAATCAAACACAGCAGCACACAGAAGTGACAAGTGGTGACTGGTGAGGTGGTGGGGCCATGTGTGGAGGTTGTTGTTTACGAGGATGAGTAGCTGGACACCTCATCCTTGCTGGGAAGCGAGACGGTGCCATGGGGAAGCAGCCAGGGATGGCTTTGGAGAATCTTCACAGGAGCAAAAGGGATGTGAGAAGAGGATTGAGGGAGAGATGGGGTGATGGAATGGAAATTGAAGTGAGCAGAGTGCCAAAATCGTCAACAGTAACAGTTTTAAGGACAGGGCATGATGGAGAAGTAAGAAAACTGAAGATCTTAAAGTGTGCCCATGAACTTCGATGGTATAGACCTAAAACAGTGATATTTCAATGCCACGAAACCAATATTTCCAATTCTAACCCCGGTCAAAAAAAATATTTCCAATTCTAACATACCAAATACTAACATACCTGATATGGTTATTGTAATTCTCTCAAGTGTCTGGTAAAGTCGTAATTTAGCATATTTTAGGAAATATTTTGTACTCCCTCTTCTTATTTACTTGTTAGTTAGAACATCAACATAGTTTGTGTATGCACTTGTTTTATCATTACATTTTCTAATCACATACTATATTTATGAAAAATACTTAACTACATCCAAGAATATTTCATGACAAATATACTAATATCATTTTTACATATTATCTATTAATTTTGGTATATATTTGTGATTTAAGATTTCTTGGTTTGACTGCACGCATCTTAAAATGACGTCTATCTGTGAACTGAGGGTGCCTTTTAAAATGAATGTAACGCATTATTCTCATAATAAAATGATTTACAGCACTAGTCTATGCTTCTACATTTCTTTAATTATGAGAATTTGATTCCTCCCATTTGGCACCCTTACTGATTCATTTAATATTTTTACAGGGTAAGCAAGGAGTTGTTAAACACTTGTACATGGGCATACTGTTTATCCATAATGAAAGTGAAAGTGAGAACAGCGGATTTTTCTGCGCCCAGTGCAGTTCATGTGAAAATGTCAAGAAGCGGAAGGAACTGGCAAGTTTCACTTTTGGAAATTCGGTATGTAGAATTGCAGATACAATGCATGCACTGTTCTACTTCCTCTATTCCATATTGTAAGACGGTTTAATTTTGTCCTAAGTCAAACTTCTCTAACTTCGACCAAGTTTATTGTAAAATGTACCATATCTACAACATCAAATTAGTTTCATTAAATCCACCATAAAATGTCTTGATTGTGTATTTATTTGGTACTATAGGTAATTATTTTTCTATAAACTTGGTCAAAGCTAAAATTTGACTTATAGGACATAACTAAGATACCTTACAATATGGAACGGAGGGAGTACTTACTAAAGAAGGTTTGATATTTTCTGTGACACTTTGTTTTTGATGTACCAGGACGATAATCCTATTCCCATGTTTTCATATGAACAAAATGAGCAACGGGACAGTAAGTGTTCCTGGAGATTGATGATTTTGTCAGCATAAAATAGTTTTTTTCCCTGATTCCCTTGATCCTACAGATGAAAGGCCTTACAGGAGCACTAGAGAACAACTTTTCTCAATTGGGGAGATGCTGCGTATTCGAAAGGGTCCTATGAAGGGCTATCTCTGTCGAGTAGTTCGAATATTTCGCAATGATGTAACTGTTAAGCTAGATTCACTGCTGAAGATTGTCACAGGTTGGTTACTTGAGTATCCTTGCAGCTGTTTTTTGACAGTGATTGACTACTTCTGTGTAATGTTTGCAGTGCAAGCTGAGTTTCTTTCAGTCCCAGCTAAAAGAGGGTAAGCAGCTTAGCATGCTTCTCTTCTCTTTTCATTTTGTGCTTGTTTTAGTAACGTGATTTTGTAAACCATCATATTGTTGCTTAATGCCACTTACATCTGTGCACCTTATTGCATTACCAGGGATAACTCTTCTGGTGCTCCATCTGGTCCTTTTGGTAAGTGCAAGTTTCATGCACACTGCAACTATTGCCAATTTACTCGCTGCTGGCTTGCTGCCATGGAGTTTGTTACCTATGCTGATTGTAATGTAGGTTCAGAAGCCGATAAACCCTCATGGGACAATGGATTACCATCTTTTGGAAGGTTCTTTCTTGCTTTCCAGCTTCCTACTTTGTGAATGTTTTAATAAATTGTTGGACTTCAGATTTCCTAATCAACCACCTTTATCCGACCCCTTCCCACCAATCAAAATGAACCTATGCGGTTGACTTGGTGTATATCATTGGTTGGTTAAATAAAAATCCTCGACTGTTATTTATATTTGCACTATTCACTGAATTGTTCAATCTTGTGCAGTGATTCCTGGCAACCCTTTTCAAGTGCTGCATTACCAGTTCAGAATGCAGGTATATTCAGTCGTAGGCCTTTCTATTTGGTGGTATAGTTTGGCTTTGTTAATTTTTAGTATTGTGAAGTCATGATGTTGCAACATTTAACCTGTTCAAAATTGCTTGCTCAAGTATAACTAGGGGTGGAAACGAGCCTGGCTCGGCTCGGCTTGCAATGGCTCGCAACAAGCTAGGGTTGGCTTGGCTCGGCTCGGTTAGAGAAATGAGCTAAAACATGAGCTCGGCTCGGCTCGTTTCCTGGCTCGAGCCAGCTCGAGCTGGCTTGCGAGCCTTCCGTTGAAGCTATATAATTTGTAATCATTAAGAAAAGCAATAACAAATCATCAACATGTAAAATTAAAATAACTTTATATATTCAATTCATCAAAATCTAGACGATAAATTACATATTGACAAATAATAACTCCACTAAAAAATAAAGTCATCCATACAAATACATGATGGCTTAGGCTCGCGAGCCAAATCAGGCGGCTCGCGAGCTAGCTCGGGCTCGGCTCGTTTCAGAAACGAGCTGAAAATGAGGCTTGGGCTTGGCTCGTTTGGCATTCAAGCCGAGCCGAGCTAAGCGAGCTCGAGCCAAGCCTGAGCTGAGCTCACGAGCCCAAGCTTTTTTTCCACCCCTAAGTATAACACACTCAACCAGTTATCCATTCCATGTCTCATAGAAGTCCTTGAATTTTTGTAAGAATAGGCGCAACAGGGGATCAAGTGGGCTCTCTAGGATTGGTAGAGCAGATAACTCAAATCCGTTTAATTTGGTGTGGGGGTGAAGTCACAGGTGGAATGGTTTTTTATTGGGTTAATGGGACAACTTTTTCTACAAAATTGACAAGTCTTAAACGTGAACAGAAAAAAAATGATGCTCATTTATTAGTAGTTTAAGTCTTTATAATTTTGCTCATGTGCAACTTCTGCATTTTTAGATGGGGAATCTGAAGTTGATCCATGGTGTAAGAAAACTTCATCTTCTGCCAATGATTCTGATCCATGGGGTACGAAAACAAAATCTGCATCTGTTGATGTATGGAACAACAGTACCACACAAGTAGAGAACTCCAGTGACAATGCATGGGATAAACAACCTGGAGGTAGTGGACCTAATATTGGTGGAAGCTCTTGGGACAGACCAGCAACTGATAAGGAAAGTGAAAAAAGTGACAACTGGGGTGAGGCATGCAAGGAGACAGAGAAAACTGGTAGTGATACAGATCCCTGGGGAAGCAAGGTCAAAGAGATAGATCTGAAAGAAACGGATAGCTGGGGAAAGGCTTCAATGCAACCAGAGAAGAAGTTGGAGGATGATAGTCAAGGATGGGGCCAACCTGTTGGCAAGTCAAACCAAGACCAAGAAAAAGGTGCAGACAAATGTGGGGCTTGGGATACTGTTATTGCTGGGTCATCTTCGTCTGTTCCTGGCAGAGGGGATGATGACTCCTGGATTAAAACTGATACTTTGCCTGTTGCTCAAGATGATGCCTGGGGCAACTCAAAAGATTGTAGTGATGGGGCAGCTGGGTGGAATGAAACTAGAACATCTAAACAAAGCCACAGCACTGGAGGATGGGATGCTGCTGCTGCCAACCTGAATGAATCATCTGATGTGGATGCACATAAGGACTCATGGGGCAAAGCAAAAGATACAACAGCTAATGCTGAAGAAAAAAATAATGAAAGTGGAAACTGGAACAAAGCTGGACCACTAGACAAAGTTTGTGGCAGTGATTGGGGTAGTCCAAAGTTTTCCAGTGGTGATGGTCCATCCAGCTGGAACAAGGGAGACAAAATTGGAGGAGATTCTCAAAACGGCAGCTGGAGCAGACCTGGTGGAAACTTTGAAGGTGGTCGTGGGTTTGGGCGAGGACGGGGCAGAGGCAGGGGCCGAGAATCTGGGGATTTCGGTGGCAGAAATGACCAAGGAAGCTGGAAGAACTCAGGGACTAGTGACAGTTCTGGAAGGCCCTCTTGGAGGTCTGATAGTCAAGTTGAGAAGGAAGTGGGAGATTCTGGTGGATATCGGGGGAGAGGAAGAGGAAGAGGCCAGTATGGAGGACAGGGAAGAGGAGACAATGGTTGGAGAAATGGAGGTCAAAGCAATTCTGAGTTTGGAAGGAGTGATGCTGATGCACCAAACTGGGGAAATAAAGGTGTATCCAATAAAGGTTCTTGGGATAGTGGTGACAATTGGAATGCCCCAAAGTCATCTGATGAAAATCAAACTTCCGCTTGGAACAGTTCAGAAGATAAAAGGCCATCTGGAGGTGAGCGGTCTGTTTGAAATTGATACCTTGTATTAGATTTGCATGGTCAATATACTTTTGTCTACATGTGCATGTGTTTTCTTCTTTATGTTTTGGATCCCATATTTATTTGAATAGTGCTATTGAGATTTGAATAAACTTTTTTTTAACTTCAACAGGAGCATGCTACTTGAATTTCTTGCTTTGATTGCTATTGTGGTTACTTAGGTTTAGTAATATGGTTTCTACTTAGATTTAAACTTGATAATGCTCTTTTTGGGTATTGGTAAACAAAATGATCCTTAGGTTTAGCAAGATGGTGCTACTCTGGGTGCTGGAGGGTATCAAAACTATTTGCTCGAAGTTTTATCAATACAAGCTAATGCACGCGCTTTGCTACGGGTAAAGGAAAAAAATATCATAATATTGTCTAAAATTGATAAAATCATACTTCCCATGTGATAGGGAAGACTCACCTTAATTTAATTTTATATGTTGCTATCCATTTAGACTTAGTAGTTATGTAATATTAAGAAGTTCAAAATATGTAAAAAAAACTGCAATGAGAGTAGGTAGGGTGGCTGATTCACTGCAACCACCATGAAATTCTTTTTAAAGGAGTATAGATGTTGAAGGGCTTTATTTCTGTTCTGTTGCATAGGTCATAGGTGAACAAAGTGATTGTTGATAAGTTCTAAAGGTGAAGATAATTAAATTTAGCCATATCTATTATTCTACTTGATGTTTTAAGCTATAGTTGTGCGCTGACTTGTATATCTTGTAGGCCAAGAGCAACAAAGTGGTGCTTGGGCTAGCAAGATGACTTCTACTGCTGGCGCTGAGGATAAAAGTGATGCCTGGGGCACCAAGGCGGAAGGCAATTCTGGTAGCACTGGGGGAAAGTGGGAGAATGCTTCATCTGGTAATTCTGATGCCAAGTAAATTTCTTGTTCTGTTCAATGGTGGATATACTACAGAGCTTATGGTTTCCTATCATGTTCAGGGGAAGAGCAGCAAAGCGACCCTTGGGGAAGCAAGATCTGTTCTAATGAAGGTGCTTAGAGGATATTAAATTGTCTCTCTTTGTTGTATGCTTGATTTTTGAGCTAAATAATTGATTTTGTCCATGTATTTACATGTTGCCTTGCAATGCTTATATTATACTACTAACTTGTAGGCAAAGAACAAGAAACTGACCCTTGGACAAGCAAGGTGACATCCACTGCAGATGCTGATGATAACAATAATGTCTGGAACACTAGCGCAAGTGATACTGCCTCTGGGAGTGAGAGCAAGTGGGGCAATGCTGGGGCAGAGGAAAAGGCAGATGCCTGGAAAAGTAAAGTGGGGAGTGAAAATAGTGGAGGTTGGAATCAGAAATCTTCTTGGGGTAAACCAAGCTTCTCAGGTGGAGAGCAGGAACCAGCTTGGAGCAATCCAAAGAATGGTGATGATAACAGTGGATATGGTAGGGGTGGATTTGGACGAGGAAATCGAGGCAGAGGGAGAGGAAGAAATTTTGGTGATAGTGGATCCTCATGGAGCGGAGGAAGTTACAGAAATGATGAGTCACGTGGAGAGAGATCTGAAGATCGCTGGAACACACGAGATTCTGATGGTGGCAGAGGAAGAGGAAGAGGACACTTTGGCAGAGGTGATCGCAATCAAGGTAATAACTATGGTTCGGGTGACAACAATGACAGAACCTGGGGTTCTGGCAGGGGAAACAGGGACCAGGATGGTTGCAAAAATTGGAACCGAAATGATGACAGAAGACCGTTCGGTCAAGATCGAGGTGGTGACTGGTCCCAATCTTCCGACTGGAACGCCAACAAAGGACAGTCCAGCTGGGGAGCGCCAAAACCTTCTGGTGGAGATGACCAGGCAGGAAAAAACAATGGAAACAATCCGTGGGGTGCTCCTGCTGACAGCATGACTGGTGGTGGATCCGGTGGAGGAGGGTCTTGGAAAAATAAGACTGAGGATACCTGGAATTCGTCTGGAGGAACAAGGGATTCAGGTACGACCCCAGGAAAATCTTCTTGGGGTGGATCAGAAGATGGCCAAAAGAAAGAAGGATCATGGGGGAAAAGCGAGGGGAGCGGGAGACAAGTCGGTGGAGGCAGCTCCTGGGACAAGCCGGATGGAGGATGGAACAGCAGCAAGTGCGAGGGCACCCAAGGAGGTGGCGGCGGTAGCTCCTGGGACAAGGCGGATGGCGGGAACAGTAACAAGGGCACCCAAGGAGGTGGTGGCGGCAGCTCCTGGGACAAGGCAGATGGCGGATGGAACAGCAGCAGCAAGGGTGGGAGCTCCGGCAATGGTGGGTGGTAAGCTCGATCCAGGATCAGCTGCAATCCATTAGTGCATGTATATAATGGTTGCCATGCAGCTTGAACTTGCTGTATATTTCTACTCTTTCTAGACTTAGAACGCTATTATTAGTAATAACGTCGCCATGCTACTCTAAACTACGAACTTACCTTAATTCCAGCAGAACATTATCTATTGCTGACGGTTATTAAGGTAGCTTTGTATCACCATCTCTACGATTCCCAGGTGTTTTTATGCTCCTTTTGTTTTGACGATGTGATATTTTGTGTTAGTTTGATGGATGCGCCTCTGGGCATAATGATGAAGCTCTCAAACACCGTTTCTCCATGGTTGCGTGCGCTTCACAAGGGTTATGTAACTTATGTTACTGCTGTAGGATATACATAGGACAATAACAATGCAATTACTTTGTTATCCGCAGACCCCTGCTTTGTTCCTGTAACGTTGATAATCCCCTGTTATGGTTTTAGCATCCGTTTTGATAATTTTGGATCAATTATGGTATATTATATTATTATATGCCATAGCACAGTAAACACATCGCTAAGGCTTAGAGTAAGTTTTAGAGTGAGTTTAATAGTATAGCCAACTACTAGCTCTAAATTATCTCTAGTCACATACACATTATGTTTTGTAGTCTGCTGCAGCTGGCTTTAAATATGTAGTCCGCTGCTTTTATCTCTCCTTATTTATCTCCTCAATATGTGTTTATACATGGTTTATAGTATGCTATTATACCTGCTCTTATAATTAATGTAATTAATTATCACCAAAATCTATAGTCTGCTCTTATTGGACCCTGCGTGCCTTGCTCCTCATCGCCCACGCGTCCTCCCACCTCGCCACTCTCCTCATCCCTGACTCAACCTACTCCCTTTCCTAGGGCTCGCCTCTCTATCCCTCTGTCCTCCGTTGCCACTACAAATCACTATGCTTCGGCCCGGCCTCCTCTTCCCCGCCGTATCCTTCGTTGTCAAGGAGGTACTCTGGCGCGCCACCAACACCTACATCGCGCTTGCCGAGCAGGCTGCGGCCCCCGTCCTGCCCACCTTCTGGACGGCGTGTGCTGGTTGCTGTCTCCTCCATGAGTTTGACCGCAAGTATGTTGGATTCTGCCTCATGTGCCCCTCCTGTCGTCACACCTTCCTTGCCTTTGAAGTCCCTCCTCCGCTGGAGGTTTGAGGCAAAGGCAGAGCTAGACCCATCGCCGGCTAAGAAGAAGCCCACATTAAGGACATGTTGTTGCTGCTACTGCGATCAACAGCTAGTCAGCGGTGTCACCACGGTCACAGCCACCGTTTCACTTCTATATCTCTTCTCTCGTCTATCGTCCCTCCTCCCGCGCCACACCGTCGCCTCGTATCCCCGCTCAACTGGCCACTCCACTGCCAGCACCGGTGCTGAATGGGCCAGGATGAGAGAGAGAGAGAGAGGAAAGCCCCGTCGTCATCCTGCCACCGCCTTCACCACTCCCTGTTGTTGTCCCGACACCCTGCTGCTGTCAGCCGCCTTCTTGCACCGTTGAGCCAAGAAGAAGAAAGGGGAGAGAGAGAGGGGATGACAAGTGGGTTCTACTTATTTATTTATTTATTTATTTATTTATTTATTTATTTATTTATTTATTTATTTATTTATTTATTTATTTATTTATTTATTTATTTATTTAATGACTAGGTTGGCACATGCATGTCACGTCAGTGAAACTGCCTTCAAAATTGACGGTGGAGTCGTTTTAGACGGTTGTAATAGTTGGGGGACTTGTCATATCTAATTTTGTGGTTGAGGGATACGAATTAGATTCAGCTACTAGTTAAGGGAGTTACAGTGGGCTTATTCCTTTCCGTATGTGGCTTATCCTGACTCGCATTACTGTGGGTTCGGGAAACGGCGTATGAGACCAATAAATGTATACTCTATTATCCTTGTCCTTCTTAGGTAGGCACGTATATGCCTACAAAAGTATCTAGTGCCCCACAAGTAACGGGTTGAGCGCACTAGCACGAAAAACATTATTACATAATAAAGAAATGGAAACTTATAGTTATGGAGCAATTATGGTTTTGGCGTCCGTTTTGATAGCTTTGGATCAATTATGGTATATTGTTATATGCCATGAACTAGGGTAAATTTCAATTTGAGACACATTTTATTACTTACGTTTCACTTTGAATCACTTTTTAACTAATATTTTTCATTTACTTTGAGCCATGTAATCTTACCTTTGTTTCACTTTAGATCACCCCTGCTGACCTGCTCTCTTATCAAGTATATAAACAATTTCAAATAAGCCAGCTTCTACTCACAGTTGAACGCCAGCAACTATATTTAGACTATTGCTTTGACATATGATTAAGTTAATGCATATGGAATAAATAATTAAGGGTGGTCTAAAATATCACAAAGATAAATTTACACGATTCAAAAGTGAAAATATTCATTAAAGGGCGATGCAATAGTAATTAATTAAAAGGTGGTTCAAAGTCAAATTTACTATTATTAATTACTCTTCTCATAGCACAGTAAGAGCAAGTATAATAGGAGGCCGTAAGTCGGCTAAAGGTTGAGGCAGAGGAGAGAAGAGAGGAGAAGTGTGTTGTAAACTCTTAGCCGGTTTGGATGTAAGAAGAAAAAAATTTTATGAGAGAGATAAGTGGACCATGTATTAATTGTTAAATTGCTAACTACTCCCTCCGTATTTTAATGTATGCCGCCGTTGACTTTTTAACCAACGTTTGACTATTCGTTTTATTCAAATTTTTTATGCAAATACAAAAATACTTATGTCATGCTTAAAGAACATTTGATGATAAATCAAGTCACAATAAAATAAATGATAATTACATAACTTTTTTTAATAAGACGAAAGGTCAAACATTTATTAAAAAATCAACGACGTCATACATTAAAATACGGAGGGAGTATTATATATGTGGGCTAAGAGAATGCTACAAAGAACCTTATAGCCAATAAATCGGCTGTATTATTAGCCTACCCATCGCGCTAAAACTTGTGTAATTAATTGTCATCAAAATTTATAAGCCCATTGTTGACCAGGTGACACGTACAACTAGCTCCAAGTCTTTCGCCATCACCAGCTCGGCTAGGCTGCTCCCATGCTTCTGCGCTTCAAACGACAGATAGCTCCGAGAAACGGCCATGGATAGGCCACCCTCGCCGCCGGTGACAGCTTCGAGACGAAGGCTCAACTCGTCATCCTGAGCGACGGCCACCACGGCAGAGAATGCCAGTTTCGCCGGCGACGACAACGACGACGACGACGAAGAAGAAGGGGAGGAGGAGAGTGGTCCATCGAAGAGGACGATCTCGTCCTCGTACCCGCTCGTCAGCGCGGCGGCGTTGAGACGACGGCGCCCGTGACCCGGTGATGGCGGCGGCGCGCCGCGAACCTCGACCTCCACCGTCGCCTCCACGCCGCGCTCGATGAAGGCGTACGCCATGTCCACGGCCACCGCCGCGCCGCCGCCGCCGGGCGCCGCCCGGCCGTAGATTCGCGTCTTCAGTTTCTCGCCGACCGGCATGGTAGACGGCGAAGTGAACTCGATGCAGCCGTCGATGAGCTCCACGTCGTTGCCGTCGCCGTCGCCGCCGCCACCGCGCTTGGCTTTCAAGCTGTACTCAAGTAGCACGCCGTCAATTATGGATGTTCCTCGTGCAGGAGAGATCAAAGGCAGTGTAGGGCAAACCTGCATTTCGATGCAATAGTAGCAACTTTAATTACCAAGCAAATAGCCGGAATAAAGTTTGTTGGAAAGTCAAATTATCTTTCTTTAAGATAAAATACTATTAGGTCTTGCCTAGCCCTAACAGTTATACTCCCTCTGTTCATATTATCACGTTTGACTTTTTATTAGTCAAACTTCAACCAAATTTATAGAAAAATATAGTAATATTTTTTAAAACAAATTTTGTATCAAAATATATTTAATGTTAAATTTAGTGAAACTAATTTGGTGTATTTAGTGTGGTAGATGTTGCTAACTTTTTCTATAAATTTGATCAAACCTAAAGAACTTTAAGAAAAAATTAAACAATTTGCTCTTTGTGACAGCTTTAGGGCTTTAGGTGACGATGAGGGGCTGTCAAAAAAAACCATTCTCTAGTAGTATTATAATATGAAATGGAGATAGTATATCAAATTTTCTTCCGACTACAAATTTTTGTGTTTTTTCTCTAAAAAGGGGCGGAGCCATGTGTGGGACAGCTTGGGCTTGGGCCCCACACGTGGCAAAGAATTTCAATGGCAAAATACCAAAATTTAAATAGAAACTCAGTGAAAATTTTGAAACAGCATAGCTTCGGCTCTACTCTTAGTGAAATCTTGCCTCCGCCCCTGTCTACAAATATAAATTGTGTACTTTTTTTTTTATAATCCACTTACCGGTGTGATGTCGCAGGGGTCGTCCCTAGAGCGGTTGAAGACGTAATTCCTTCGGCAATCCAGTTCATCATGGATCGCCACAAACCCGTAAACCCTCATCGACTGATCAAGTTGGACGCCGTCGCCGGCAAACCGCATTGAAAAAATCTGGATCATAGTGATCGGGTAGTCTCTGTCCTCAAGGTTCGTGTATAATTTGTTACCTAGAGAAGCTGAGAAAACAAAATTGAACCCAAGTATTCATCATGGTTTCGATCATCATCATCATCTCATGAATAATGCTACTACCTCCGTTAAAAAAAAACTAACCTCATACTACACATTCTAGTATAACGAATCTGTACATAGAGTATATATGTTCGGATTTGTTACATATTCTAGTATAACGAATCTGGACATAGAGTATATATGTTTGGATTTGTTGTACTAGAATATGTCATATTCTAGTATTATTCTAGTATGATATTAAGTTTTTTTTTGGACGGAGGAAGTATGTAAGCTAGAAACGGGGTGGTGGTTTTTGCAAAAAGGAAAAATAGATGAACAATTAAAACTACAGTTGTTATAATTGAACTCTGAACAAAAATAATTTAAATACCCATGAAAAAGAAAAAAAAATCTTACTTGGATTGGTGTCATGCATAAAGTACATGCGGTGAACGGTATAGAAGAGTGGTTCCGGAAGAGAGCGAGGTAGGAACTGGACACAGTAGTAGTGTTCCTCCTCGGGCAGTGCAGAGTTCAGCTCTTCAGTTTTTCTCATGCATTCCTCAACTTCCGCGTTGCACTCGTCGTATTTTGCATTGATTTCTGTAGTTCGATCGTGAAGAGAAAAAAAAAAGTTCAATTTACTGTCCCGTACTATTTCATTGAAGCACTTAGCCCCTAAATATTTTTCGATTCATTTTATTTCCTAAACTATTAAAAA